TATCTGGAACGAAGAGAGTGTGCCGGCTAATTGGAGCGAATCGATTATAGTGGCAATATACAAGAAGGGCAGTCGCACAGACTGTGCGAACCACAGGGGTATTAGCCTAACGCCAGTTGTGACAAAATTACTGGCCTCGATTATCGTTCGTCGCCTCACTGCAGAACGGGAATCTCGGATTAGAGAAGAGCAGGCCGGTTTTCGCCCAGGACGTGGCTGTATAGACCATATATTTACTTTGCGGCAGGTGCTAGAGCAGCGCCACGCATACCGCAGACCGACAATAGCTGTGTTCCTCGATTTCAAGAGTGCGTTCGATTCAGTCGATCGATCGATTCTGTTCGAAATACTTGCGCGGAAAGGCGTTCCCACGAAATATGTGAACATCCTTCGTGCTCTATACTCGAACACTAGAGGCCGCGTCAGGGTCTATGGTGCCCTATCGGATAGCTTTTCGACTACAAGTGGCGTTCGACAGGGTTGCCCGATTTCCCCATTTTTGTTCAATTTCGTCGTGGATTCTATCATGGAGTGTTCCCTTGCGATGTAGGTGTTGAAGTGCTGCCTGGTGAACGGTTAGTTGATCTAGATTATGCGGACGATATCGTCTTGCTTTTCGACAATGTTGAGGCGGCACAATCAACCCTGAATAGCCTATCCAGAGTGGTCCCATTATTTGGTATGCACTTCGCACCTTCAAAGTGCAAAGTGTTGCTGCAGGACCACCAGCCACTCGATGACCCCTTGACGCTTGCTAACGAGGAACTCGATGTGGTTGATCAATTCACTTATCTTGGCAGCTGCATCAGCAATGATGGGCGCATAGAAACTGACGTTAGCTCACGCATCGCAAAGGCCAGAGCTGCCTTCTTGAACCTGCGGCATCTTTGGCGACAGAAGGGAGTTTCCCTCCGTCTGAAAGGCCGTGTATACAAGGCCACAGTGAGGGCCGTTCTGCTCTATGGTAGTGAAACTTGGCCCCTTCGGTCTGAAGATCTGAGGCGCCTTCAAGTCTTTGATCATCGTTGTTTGCGAAGCATTGCTGGTGTCGGATGGCACCAGCGTGTCCGCAACGATGATGTGCGTAGGCGAGTACTAGGGGGTGATGATCATGCTAGCTCCCTAGAACAACAGATAGCACTGAATAAGTTACGTTGGCTCGGGCACGTGCTACGCATGCCTGGTCACCGCTTACCTAGGAGGGTCTTGTTCAGTCTACCAGGTGTGGGATGGCGCAAGGCTCGAGGTGGACAGAAGTTAACTTGGCAGCGAGAAATGAAGTCCCTGACGACCAAACTGGGTGCCGTTGGTCCGGCTCGCCTTCCGGGTTGGAGTCCACGTGACTCACCTTGTGCTTGGCTCGAGACTTTACAGGACATGGCTCGCAACCGACACCAGTGACGCGTCTGCTGCCGTCTCCTAATCGGATTGTCTGTTTAAAGTGTGTTTGGTGCTGAGTTATCTGCGGGGTAATGGCTGATTATGACGCGTGGCAGTGAAAGCCGCAAGGAAGCTGTCTCGCCGATGCCGCCTTATCTTTGCACGATAGCCAGCTGTTTGTGACGGTATGTTGTTAACACAAGGTGTAGGCGCCTTGACCCTGAATGTTTGCTTAGGGCATTAAGGTTTGCAGGTAAGTCCCCCTTCTCTCCCTCTTATTCTTTATTTCATAGGTCCTCATGGTTGTATGGCAGCGAAGCATCAGTTCAAATGGCTGATGTACTGCTGTTGATGATGATGATGATGGTATCTACGCGCTAACAGGGTCGTCGATGGCGTCCGCTAAAAGGAACCCTAAGGACAGTACATAGAAATGTATGGTGAGTGTTCACACGTGTTCCAAATTGAGCGACAGTTTTGGACACTGCTCCTACAACGGTAACTGATCGCAATGTGTAGCTGTCTAGAGATTCCTCGGTTTGCCTGAGCAAAATTCGAGACAAAATCACTGTTTCATTGTACACTTAAGCGACTGGTGCAGATTGTTCAACTGGGTGTTAAAGTCGATTGCTTGAGTGGACCATGGCCAGTTTGCTTGGCGCTGGTTTCGAGTGCAACGCGTAATCGCTTTCTGTGCTGTACATTTCCCGTTCCCCTAGCTAGCAGCGTACAACGGTGTCGTTTTTTAGCTAGGCTAATAGGGATCCTTATGCTGTACAAATAAAAGTTTCCTTGCAACCCGATCTGTCTTCTGGAATCCCTATCCAGGCTCCCGCTAAATTGGTGACCCCGAGTTCGGAACAATCTCAACGCCGGATATTTTGAATTTTTCTCCAGTGATCTCTTCTATTTATTTTTCCACATTTTCGGTTTGTTTTTGTATATAGTAGCATTTTTTCGCATACATATGCTTAAACCATGGAGTATGTAAACACTAAGTTAGTGTCTCCCGTTAGCGCTGTATCTCTCTTATTCTGTCCACCGTTTGGGACATGGATCCCCTGTTGCGGTTTGCTCATCTAGAATCAGAGTTTTATAACCCCAGAATCACTACCGACTTGGTTAAGTACAGCAACCTCAAGCCCTATCTCCCCAAAGAGATGTCCAGGCACGCAAGGTGGCCACGAGTAAGTGTGCCATGCCCTCTGAGAAAGTCTGCCTGTAGCAGGTTTTCAGAGACCTGCAGTTGGGTGACAAACTGCCCTCAACCCGGTTACCAGATGCAACAGCTGTTTGGTTCATCAACCATGGAGGATACAAAAGTCCGTGGACTATGGCAACAGAGGTTACCGAAAAACACCCAAGCAATTCTCGCTATCGTAAGCTTCATATTCCTCACTCAACTAGCTGGTTTGGCAAGTTGAGCCATCGGCCACAAGTCGCTGCCAGCAAGGTCAACGCCGTCATGTCCCAGGGCACTTACGCCACTGGCTTACAGTGGCTATGTAAATCCTGCAAGCACAAGTTACGACACTTAGTCGTCAAGTCCAACAATTCACTACGAGCCGTCGTCGTCACAGCCGATCACAATCACCCTCAAAACGCTCTAATTCCAACAGTAGGCAGGCTTCCTGTTGGTACCACAAACGCTTTGGTACGGCCGCTCGTAAGTGTGTCAAATCTTGCAACTTCGCTGAGAAGGAGGGAAACTTCCGGGTCAAAACCAAAGTCGTCTCATCCGCATTAGGGGTTTAACTTCCGGTATTGAATTCCTTGTGGACACCGGAGCCGAAGTTAGCCTCATACCCCGTAGCACAGATGAGGTGGTCTCACCCTCGATGACCAAGCTGCGTGCCGCTAACGGCACACCAATCGCAAGTTCAGGCGAAAAGTTACTAACGCTCAAACTAGGACTACAACGAACCTTTCGCTGACCGTTCATAGTAGCAGCCGTGCCTTTCGCTATCATAGACATAGACTTTCTTCAAGACTTCGACCTTACCGTCGATGCTAAATTGCAGAAGCTTAGCGACTCTCAGACACAGCTCAGTGTTATCGGGACCAGCGTCAACGTAGGCACTGTCACTCCAATTCGTGTCCTACCTCAGGCTTCACAGCCTTTTATAGCCCTTTTCAACAAGCATCCTAAGGTCGTTAGATCTCAGAACGGCTTACCACTCGTGACGTCAAAGGTTATGTATCAAATATGCACTAAGGGTTCGTCCATTTCGGCTCGCCCATGCAGACTAGCCCTAGACAAGCTCAAAAGAGCCAAGGCGGAATTCGAGCAAATGCTCGAACTGGGAACAATCCACCCGTCCAAGTCCATGGGCATCACTATTACACATGGTACCAAAGAAATCCGGTGACCGGCGTCCCTGTACCGACTACAGGGTACTCGACAAAATTACCGCCCCGGATAAGTGCTCCATTCCGCACATGCACGACTTGACCTCAGCTTTAGCTGGTATGTCGATCTTTAGCAAAGTCGACTTAGCGCGCGCCTACAATCAGATACCGGTGACGCAAGACGACGTACCTAAAACAGCGGTCATTATACCGTTTGGCCTATTCGAGTAGCTCAGAATGCCTTTCGGCCTCAGCAACGCTGCTCGAAGGCTCGACGGCTTGAGTGGACCATCGCCATTTTGCTTGGCACGCCTTTCGATTGCAACGCGTAATCACCTAGTGTGCTGTGCATTTTCCGTTCCCCTAGTTAGCAGCGCACAAAATGTCGCCTTTTATAACTAGACAAACTTTTTCTGTACAAATAAAAGTTTCACTGAAACCCGATCTGTCATCTGGAATCGCTATCCGGGCTCAAACTTAAAATGCGATCGGTTTGCGTCCATGGCTGGATCGAAGCTGTGGGCGCCATGTCACCTTCCGAGGGGTGCTGGGTCGGAAGTTAATGCTAGTGAGAAATAACCGAGCATTCGCACATAAATGAAGTAATCGAGCACCGTTATCACTGCGAGAGCCTACAACATGTTGGCCAATAAAATGGAGCTCATCAGTGGACAATTTCCCAACCTGAGTGTCCAAATCCCCAGCCAGCATTAGTGTCTGTGCTTCTTCTGTGGCGAAGGAGCTAATTCAACTGGCGATAAAAGTCGTCATTACCGAGTCGTCACTACAGTTTGTTGGGGCGTAAGCACCGATGACGATCAGACCAAATAACCCCGCGCGACTCTGAAATTACGAACGAGCCGGACCGCACACATCCGGTTACCTCTTGGGATCCAATAAACAAGAGCAGTTTCAGCCCAGAGGCTCAACGCAATACCAACAGCAGTTTCGCCGGTACTCGAAGCTGCATGGTCTCCGGATAGGCGCAATGAAAAAGCAAAAGTAGTTCATCTGAAAGGGAGCACAGAGTGAGAACAGAGCTCGGGAGTTGTAAGCGGACTTTGGCTAGGCAGTAGAAAGCGATCGAAAGGGTCTGATGTGCAGGCAAGTGCTGCCTGTGCGTACTTTGAGGCATGTCAATCTGATGGAGGATGGAGGGTTCCAAATAGAAGCACATGAACTGGGTTTCTACACTTGGTTGCACATTAGTTTGTCGATAGTGCAAGAGTGAGGCTCCGCATTTGCAGATGAGTCGTAAATAGGATTTAAACGTCTATCAAAGTAAGGTATGCAAGGGCCAAGAATTGGGGGGTTGAAACGGGAGGATAAAAGTGAGGTTGAAACGGGACGTTAACGGTGATAAAGCGTAAGTGGGGGGATAAGAAGACTAGAAGGCGTGAGGAGTAGCATCCAAACTCTATCCACCCCGCTCGATGCAGCAGATAAGGTGCAATAACTATCCTCTTAGTGGACAGAGTATCAAGAAACTGTCTGAAGAAAGGTTCATAGCACTGCGTGGGCAGAATAATGCCAGCTTTCCCAGGCCAAGACAGGAAAAGAACGGCATCAGCAGTACATCGGTACGCAGCACCAACGCCTCGCTGTCGCCAAACCACCACCGGTAGAAAGTAAGCTACGCATAATGCGAGGATCGCCCTACCCATAAGCACGCTTGAGCCCGAGCCGCAAGATTACGAGACAAGCTTGTTACATCTAGGCTATGAGTCGGAGAACGATTAGGGTTCTCAAAAAAGGCCTCTGGATCAAAAACCTGACCACAAGGCAGCGGGTTTGACAGAGGACTACAAAGATTCCATCTAAAGGAATAAGGAGCCACGCTCATTTCAAGGCCCAATCTGTAGAAACAAGCGACTGAGCTTGTCTGGCCTGGGACCATTGACCAATCTGGTATGAGTTGCTATGAAGGTCCAAAAATGCACCACCCAGCATAGCTCAATGGATCACTGAAGCGCGCAAATTATCATAATACAGTAAGGTCCTGTCACATTACGAAGGAGTCTATCAAGTAGTAATTGCATAGCAGCAGCTTAGGACCCAAGGAGAGCTCATCGCCATCATTATACAAGTTAGCTAGAGGTAGGAAACACCTCAGCTACTATGCCGAAATACATAAAAGAAAAGAAGGGAATAAAATGCTACAGGTACAAGGTCACTTGAAGTCTAAATTTCGTCTATGCATACATCGATGATATCCTAGTTACCAGCGCTTCTAAAGAACAGCACGCAGAACATCTCAAAATACTTTTCGATAGGCTGGCCGCTAATAGCATCACTGTTAACCCTGACAAATGCGTATTTCAGCAGCCTTCCGTCGAATTCCTTGGCCACCATATTGATCAGTATGGTATACGGCCTCTAGACGATAGAGTCCGCCCCATCAGAGACTTTCCGGTCCCGACGACGTTAGCCGATATTCGCCGTTTTAACGGCATGCTCAACTACTATCGACGTTTTCTTCCACACTGTGTCAATTTGCTAAGTCCACTAACCGACCAACTTCGTGGACGTAAAAACGGGCAGGTGGAACTGACTGCCGCTGCTGCAGAAGCCTTTAAAGCCAGCAAAGAAGCTTTAGCCAAAGCCGTTATGCTTCAACATTTCGATCCGGATGCTCCGCTCAGTGTTGCTGTTGACGCATCGGACACAGCCACTGGCGCCGTTCTACAGCAACATACAAATGGAGGCTGGAAACCTCTTGCATTCTACTCTAGACGCCTACAACCTGCCGAAGTCAAGTACAGCACGTTCAGTCGCGAACTGCTGGCCGTTTACTCTACAGTTCGACACTTCCGACACGTTCTCGAAGGTAACACCTTCATTATCTTCACCGATCACAAGCCGCTTACCTAGGCATACCGAAATCAATCAGCTCGACACTCATCACGTGAGATTCGTCAGCTGGATTTCATTGCCCAATTCTCGACTGATATCCGACACATTTCTGGTCAACAAAACGTCGTCGCTGATGCTCTTCCAAGAGTATCTGCGATCGCCTCTACCGGGCAGGCAATCGATTTGTCTGCTATGGCCGCCGCGCAAACGACCAAAGTTTTTCGGAACTCCGCGATTCTTTTTTGAAGATATCCCCGCACCATTTGCCGTCATCTGATGGTACCATTTTATGCGACACGTTTACCGGACTACCTCGACCTGTCGTTCCAGAAACTTTTCGCCGTATCGTTTTCGACACCCTCCACAATATCGCCCACCCAGGCATTCAAGCTACTGCTAAGCTTGTCTCTGAGAGATACGTTTGGCCGGGGATGCAACGCGATCTTACACGTTGGGCACACAGCTGCCTCACCTGCCAGCAAGCCAAGATTCAGCGGCACGTGTCCGCTCCGCTTGGTCGCTTTCCGTCCGTTTCAGCGCGATTTGCCCATGTCCATCTCGACATAGTGGGACTTCTTGCTCCGTCCAAAGGAATGGTCTATATTTTGACCATGATCGATCGTTGCACCCGTTGGCCCGAAGCCGTTCCCATCCCTGACGTAGCTGCTGAAACCGTAACACGCGCTTTTGTCGAGCGCTGGGTCGCTTCACACGGCTGTCCAGCCAGTGACTACAGACCGCGGTCCGCAATTCGAATCTACGACCTTTAACGATCTCCTTAAACTCATTGGATGCCAACGCATTCGCACGACCGCCTATCATCCGCAAGCGAACTGCATGGTGGAACATTTCCACCGACAGTTGAAAGCCTCACTTAGCTCCGCCAATGCACTGAGTTGGACTGAGGTGCTGCCTATGATCCTCCTTGGGATCCGATCAGCCCTAAAGGCTGATCTAGGTACGTCTAGCGCCGAGTTAGTATATGGACAACCACTGCGTTTACCTGGCGATTTCTTCTCCGTTAGTCCCAGTATTACCTGTTACGATGCAAATTATGCACATCAGCTAGCCACGAGCAAGCATCAGCATAAGCTTCCCGACGTTAGAGAACAACAACCTAAATCTTTTATTCCACAAGACCTGCAACATTGTCCGTTCGTTTTTCTCCGCCTCGATGGTCTCCACAGACCACTGGAGCGACCTTACGAAGGTCCTTTCAAGGTCCTGCAGCGTAAGGACCGCGTCTTTATCATCGACCGTCACGGTAAACGAGAAGCCGTTACGATTGACCGTCTCAAGGTTGCCCACGTGGAACCTGAGCTCGATGAAGACTCTTGCTCGTCTTCTGAAGAATAAACCCAGCCTATGATGGAAGACTCGCATTGCTTCCAACATCCCTGAACCCAAGCATCACGTTCCAACCAAGCCTTCTACTTCAGGTCCGCCGTTTCCCATCGAACCAACCGCCACAACTTCAGCAGTTCCTCCAATTTTGCGATTCGATAGGATGTCTAAGACGACGCCTTCCTCTGATTCGCACAAGTCGACTAGGTCGGGTAGACGCGTTCATTTGCCAGCGCGACTAAAGGAAAAGTGTTTCTTTCACTTTCCATATTGTTTTCCTTTTCCCTTCTGGCCAACCACACACGAAAACCCCAAAAAATCGGCAAAAGCTTTTGAAAACGCTAAGAAAACTACAAAACGTTTTGAAAACCCAAAAGAACGCAAAACGTATTGAAAACCCAAAAAAGAAGAAAACGTTTTGAAAACATATGAAAGGGGTTACGTTTCGCTTGACGCCTACCTCATCCGGCAAGTGTCACTCTTATTTTTGCCCTTGCCTTCACCGTCACTACCCTAGTTTCCGTTTATCTTCCATGTATGAACCGGAGGAGATGACGAGTCTGAAGTGAACATTTGACCTTCACGAACTCGCGAACATTTAACGTTTACGAACTTCCCCCATTTTGTGTTTTTGGCACCGTTAGGGAGGACACGGGTGGGAGCCCGCTAGGGTCCGATCGCCTGGTTCTCCCCCAGCAGATGCATCAGGTTTCACTACCTGGTCTCGCAGAAGGCTGGCCCGCGACGGACAGTCCTCACGTAGATCGAAGGGTCACCCACCGTTTCCCTTTTAGGAGGGGGGCTGTGTAGTGACCTGGAGATGCCCCCGTAAGACTGTGTAAACTACTCTAAAATATTCAAATTATAGCTTTCGTATGTATTAGAGAACTATTCGGTTTGCCTGTTGGAACGTTGTTCCCGTTTGCTGGAAACACGAACACGATCTCTGCCTTTGGCGCGCGACTCGACTGCGAACGACGCCCCGTCTACGTTCTCGACGCCAAGGACATTCTCCCTAGCTAGCTCTCTCCGGGTGCCCTATTTTTAGCATCAGCTAACGCTCCTCCCGTCCAATAAACTTCTTCCCTAGCTTACTCTTGTGTCTTCTACCCATTGCTTTTGGTTGGTCGTCTAGTCGCGTATCGGATATATAGCGCACGATCAACGCGCTATAACACGTTCACGCCCTTTTGTTTCTTTCCATTCTAAACTAGCTAAGTTAGTTCCTTAAACTGCTTTAGCGAGCGTTCCCTTACCAGTTCACACTCTACGGGGGGAGTTATGTGGTGATTATTATCGCTTACATTGTTTAATGTAATAACCGTGTTTGTATAGCATGGAAGCAGGGTAAAGGAACAGTGTAGACTGGTTAGAAGATTGCGGCTGCATTTCGGAAAGCAGCTACGAAAAGAGACTAAACCAACTGCTCTTAGTTTGGCCTCTATCACCTAAATATTGAGGCTAACAGAACCATTACGAAAGCGCAACATTCAAAGAGACAACAGTGTTCTTCAAAGAAACTTGAAGCGCCGGTGCGGTCTCCTTGTTTTTCACGAAATTCTGAGCCACTGGACGTAGTGATTCAAACCAGCAGGGTTCAATAGGTTTCACAGTTGACGTGCGGACCAGGCTTATTTATACCATTTCGCAATTGATTGTATCCTTCACGCATTCACTTGCAATCTTAATGTCGCAGCTTGCACCATTAGTGCAAAAATTATGTACTGTTAATTACGAAATTTGCATCCACGATGCCGTACGTGGCCAACCGCAATCAGCCAATAGCATGTGGACATTATGCCGGCGTGGCTGTTTAATGTAGACGCAGCAGGGATATACAACCAGCGTGCTTTGGGAAGGGGAAAGGTAGCAGATTTGGCAACACTTGAGCTAGACCCAGGCAACGTAGTAGACACATGTGGTTAAACTGAAATAACAGACACCAGCCAACTGGAGAAGCCTGGTATTCTGAATGCGTACGAGTTGAGCAAGCGCGCACTGAATACAGTTGAAGGCCACTTGTCGCATGTTTCCCAGAATTTACTAGAAGCAGGCAAATCCTCATGTGGTAAATTCACTAGCCAAAACAGACATTGGGTCTCTTCGCAGTCACTGGAACTTATCGATGCTCGCAGGTACATTTCGGCTAGAAGCGAACACGAGACTCGCAAAGACATCGGGGAAAAACTCCGCGTGCATGAGGAGAGACCGCGAATCCTAGTGGCCTCATCGTGCATCAGAGATGGGAGTGGCCACTGCTGTTGGTAATCATAAGAAGTTGTTCCGCGTGATACGGGAAACGGGCAGCAGGAGATCTGGGGTTAGTGAAACCATACGTGACGAGAGTGGACAGCCATTCCACAGTTTGTCAGTGTTTTTAGCATTGGGCCGAGCATTTTGAAAAGCAATTTAATCGGCCGGAATTGTTAGATTGCACACCGACCAATGATCGCCCCGCTCTCTGGGC